TTCACCGAGAGGATGAAGCTATTCCCCTACTTCGTGCCTAATGAACTCTACAAGATAGATAGGTTTGCTAACGGACTTTGGCCCAACAGTCAAAATGGAAACTACTTTTAAGACAGCCATGAGAGCGGCTAAGAATGTAGAGACCCATAAAGATAAGGTGGGAGAAAAGAGGGAGATTGAGGTATCTTCAATATCTAATAAGAAAGGAAGACTCACGAAGTCCAACCTGGACGACCAAAAAGTATGGAGGTAGTAGTGGAGCCAAGTGGTGTGAGAAGTGCAAGAAGAAGCACTTCAGAAGATGCGATGGAGAAGTGACTTGCTATAAGTATGGGAGGAATGGTCACTATTACAGAGATTGTACATTCAACAACAAGAAGTGTTACGAATGTGGAGATGGTGGGCATATTTCGAAGAACTGCCAAAATAAAAACGAAGCTAAAAGGAAAAATGTGCCGCCGAAGCCAAAGGCAAGAGCATTCTAAATGATCCTTAATGAAGCAGGTGACAATGCAAGGGATCTATATATCTGAAGATCAAATCTATAAAGTAGCCATATAGATAGTATCATGTGGTGTAGCCTAATATAAGAGGCATAGTGTAGGGTGAACTTGAATATCTATGTAATCATTTCAAGAAGTAATATAAGCCTTAGTTATGTTATCTGGTGTGTTAAATGATTATGTGAAATTCTTGTATGGTGACTTGGAGAACTGCGAGACGATACTTGGGATGAGTATGAGTAGGTGTGAATGGTAGTAGAGACCTATACTACCGGAAGCATAGGACTCGCACTTGGATCAGGGAAAGTCGCAAGGTTAACAATGCACTAGTAATTGATTTTGTTTTGTTCATGTATGTCGTTACCATCAATTTGGTAATGACTAAGAAAATGATTGTTATTCTGACCCTAGTGGTCATATCAAATCGATTCCGACTAAGATGAGTATGTTACGTGGTTCATAGAACCAAGTTCAATGTAGCATCTGACTTAAGCCAGAAGATTGAAGAGAAAGATAATCAAAGAGATCAATAGAAGTATCGTGATCACCGTTAAAGTAAGAAGCTTGTAGCTAGAAGTGCTACATGCTAGAATGTGATTATATCACATTAGAGCATGAAGCAAGGTATCTTCTAATATGGAATCTGGCTCAAAAATATATGAGTCTAAGAGTTGCATCGTATAATGAGAGGTCATTAGAACATGATCCATTGGTCTGTTACAATAATCAAAGTAAAGAACTTATCTTAAGTTAAGTCTGTTTAACAAGGAGGATGAGTCTCCAATAAGGATCAAATTTGTAACTTGAAGGTTATGAATGAAAGACCAACATAGGATAAAGAGCGGGTGCAAGATTGAGCACCGCCGACAGTCAAGAAGTCCAAGAGTTAGAAACTCGTTAGAAAAGACATAAGACTTATGGTTATTACCTAGGATGAAAAGATAACGTATGGAGTCATTTTAAAAGCCCTATTTTTGTTGCTGATTCTAGGACGTAATCATCCTAAGGGGGAGATAACTGTAACGACTATAGATTTGGGCTAGTCAATTTAGAGACAATAAGCATTAAAAATGACTTTTTGATAGACGATTTGTTAGAATAAATAATCTTAAACAATTTATAGTATATGTCACAAGGATTCCATACATATAAAAAACGCTCAAATCCGACTTATAACGAAAAAGTTATGACCCGTCGAAGTTTTGCAACAAAACCGGCACGACGCTGTGTATCGTAAAAAGTGAGTTTGCGATAAAATGATTTTTAGCCTTAGCGGTCTAAACGAAAGTCTTTGTATACGTCAAACCACGAACGTACAGAAAAAGAACATCCAAATCTGACTTTGTTTGAGGAAGTTATGATTTTTCTAAGATTTGGCATAACAGTATGCAACCCGGAAATCGAATTTTAGATCGATTAATTTTTAGCCAACACAACCTAAATGAGAATTGAAGATCTCATTAATAGGAGCTCAACGATATAAAGACAGTCGAAAATGGACGTCGGATGACAAAGTTATGAATTTTTAATGGACTTTAACTGTCTAAGTTTGTTAAAATATAACTTTAAAAATAAAGTCAAAATTAGCCAATGGAGTCTAAACGAAAGTTGTATATCTCGTCGATACGTATGCGTGGATATAAAGAACGTCAAAAACGAAGCTCATATGTGAAAGTTGTGGATTTTAGAAGATACTTAGTTTGTGGAGTAACCAGCGAGTGACACGTGGCGCGATCTGACCCACTGCTTCTTCCCCACACCTTGCCACCAGATGGTGACACTTGGCACCTCAACACGACGTGTTGGGGCTCAGAACACGCAGTGTTGGTCAGTTTCCAGCCTATAAATAGAGGTGCAAATCACCCCATTTTCTTCACACATTTCTAACTCTTCTTTCCCAAATCCACAAGGCCTCAAGGATTTTCTCTAGCCCTTTTTAGGAGTTAGTAGCGAGTCCCGGAGCACCAGGAGGCTCCGAGAACAAGAGCTTTCGGCTCAGAAGTTCTTCCCGAGCAGAGCTTGGTTCCACGCTAAACCCCCTTGTAAGTGAGTTATGTCTACATTACTTTAAGTATAACTTATGTTTAAGTTCATTATTGTTATTATGAACCTATAAACAAGATTTATCAGTGATTGAAAGTAGTTATATTGATTGATCTACTGACATGAGAGGTGTCTAGAATGGTCACGTTGGGTTTGGTTGTTGGATTTCAGAAAAGCTATATGCCGAAATGGTCCTGCCTCCCAACTGTCCTGCATGGCTGATCCTTACTTGATACATCATGAAAGTATACTTTGAGTTAATGATAAATCTAGACTAATAATTAGTCGCAATAAATATTAGACTAAAATCTAGTAATAATGATACTAGTTTTCGTTGAAGGAAAGAAAATTATTAAGAAGCGAAGCTTTGCCCGAATTTCGAGTCATCACTTTAACAAGTGAGTGCATAGTTACTTTCATCTTACACATAGACAAGAAGTATTTAATATTAATACATGTTATACGTGCTTATTATCTATGTTCCTGATATCTATGCTAGATGAAAGATTTATATATGTTTACATGATTTAAATTGTATATGTATTTTTATACTTATAAATATGTATTGGGTAGTGACGGGTGATGAGAGATAGGTGATGATAGAAAGGTGATGATAACTAGGAGATGATAGATATGCGATGATGAATAGGTGATGCAAGATAAGAGATGATTAGGAGATGGCATAACCTTGACCTGCGATGTTGCAATGTAGTCATCTACCAGAGTATAGATGGCGACCACTGACTAATCTAAACAAGTCATGTGGAAATACCGGCAGGCTCATAACCTGTAGGTGATGAATTACGAGTTCAAGCGATGTAGTAACTATGTATTCATGCGATGATACTCTAACCCTTACTGGACGCGTATTGGGGGGCGGGGGATAATCCCCGAATTAGTACTATCTATGCGATGTAAGAGATGATCCTTAGGAAAAGTCGTTAGGAACACACATATAAGGAAATGCGATGATGAGAGGTAAATACGATGTAAGAGATGACCCTTAGGATAAATCTTTAGAAATATTAAATAAAGAAAACAGGGATGGGTAATCGGGTTAATTGTTTGACATGAAATATGTGAAGAAACAAATTAACTATATTATTGTGGGTTGAAAACCCAATGTACTCACCAAGTTTCCCAACCTGATCCACTCAGTTTATTATATCACAGGTGGCTATATGAAAGATACATTTTGCTGAGAGATTCAAGGGGTATTAGACCACTAGTTTAACTACTGTAAGGCTTGTAATATTCTTTATGCTTATGTTTCTGTATTGACGATGACATTCCAATGTTTTAATATAAATAAAATACATTTCCTTAGAAATGCTTTGATAATACCATTATCATGTTTTCTGAGAACAAATTCCACAATACTACTTTTCAAAAATGATACTCTGATTTTTAAATAAGCATAAACAAATCGGTATTTTCTGACTGTGAAATTGGGGATGTCACAATATATATATATATATATATATATATATATATATATATATATATATATATATATTCTCACTAAAAATTAAAATTTGAATAAATAATACTATATTCAATTTATTTTTATAATTGGTTAAGATCATAAAATACATTATATTTTGGTTTTTTTAAACTAAATTTAAATTTTATTTTTTCATAAAAAGTGATAATATTTTTTGATAATAAGATCTTATATTTTTTTCATTTATCTAGATTGTCTATTTTAACAAGTTTTTAGGTAATCTTCTGAACTTAGACATTGTTTTTGAAAAACCCTTAAATGTTTTCCTTAAAAACCGCTAGTTTTTTTTTTCAAAAAATCGTGAAGTTTTTTTATAGGGTTTTGAAAAAAAATACAAATTTTGAGGGGTTTTTTTCATAAAAATCTGTCTAAAACGGATAGAAATTCCAGTAAACCTGTTTTAATGGTCAAATAAGAAAATGGTAAAATGCGAGGTCTTTTTTAAGAAAAAAAATTAAGTTAGGGTTTATTTGAAAAAACCTAAAATATAAGGTCTTTTATGGTATTAATGTTTTTAATAATTATATATAAACTTAAAAGTGGGGAGCCTTGTCTACAATACTTTTTTGTTTTTTTTTACTTTCGCCACTTTATTTCCATCATGTTGCCTTCCTTTGACTCAAAGTTACGTTTCTTTATTAGCCGACCTTCTTTCTTTTCCCTTTTACTCATCTTTTGCTCCAGGGTACTTTTTTGGGTTTTTTTACTTTGACCACTTTATTTCCATCATATTCCCTTGCTTTGACTCAAACTTACGTTTCTTTTTCTTTTTCTTCCTTGAATATATTAGCCGACCTTCTTTCTTTTCCATTTCCTCATCTTTTGCTCCAGGTAATTTACTTCTGCTTCTCCTTTTCCCGGTTTTTGGTATTTTCTCTGTTAGGGTTTTTGTTTGCTTCCCTTCACTGCGGTTCATTATCTTTTGCTGGTTCTTTCGTTTCTTGGTTCATATGCGTAAGGGTCAGAAGCGTAGCATTATTGAGTCTGGGGAGTGCTCTGTGTCTGCTACTCCTGTTATGCGTACAAGTAAACGGTCCCGACTTATTTCTTATGGTGGTCTTCCTACATACTATGACTGTGGTGATTGTGTTTGTGTTTGTGAATTTTGTGGAGCTCTTTTCTGGTATGTGGAAAGACTTAGAAATCGTTATGAAACCAATCATCCTAAGTATAATCACTGTTGTAAGGGGGGTTCTGTTGTTTTGCCTCTTCCGGTAACGCCTCCTTTTGAAATTTCTAAACTTTATGAAGATATTCAGTTTTTTACTGATATAAGAGGTTATAATAGTATGTTTTCCATGACATCTTTTGGAGCTGTTGTTGATAAGGATATTAATAATGGTCGCGGCCCTTATGTTTTTAAGGTTTCAGGTCAGGTTTATCACTGGATAGGGTCTTTATGTCCTGATGATTCTAAAGGTCCAAGATTTTTGCAGTTGTATGTTGTTGATACTGCTAATGAGGTTTCCAATCGATTAAAGGCCTTTCATGATCCTGCTAGGAAAGATTTGGATGCTGGTATTGTGCGTGTTCTGATGGAATCCCTTTCTAATCACAATCAATATGTTAAGACATTTAAAACAGCTAAGGAGATGGCTGAGGTTATGAATCTGGAGTCTTATGCAGTTCGTTTATATAATAACATTCCTGATCGTAGATACGGTTCACCAGCTCCTGGCACTTTAGGTTGTATTGTTACTGGTGATGATAGTAATTCAGCCAACTATGATATTATTGTTCACTCTAAATCTGGTCGTCCTCAACGAGTGAGTAAACTACATCCCAGTTATATGCCATTACAATATCCTTTGCTGTTTCCGTTTGGTGAGGACGGCTGGTGTCCACGTTTGAAATTACGGGGTGATGCAGCTGCGCGTATTAGAAACCTAACAGTAAACATGTATTATAGTTATCAGATTCATGCGCGTCGGGATATATACTCTCTTATCCTTAACTCGGGTCGACTTTTCCAGCAGTACCTGGTTGATGCTTATACCTGTATTGAAGCAGATCGTTTACAGTTTATTTTGAATAACCAGGAACATTTAAGGTCTGACTATCTATCTGGTTTTTTATGATGCTCTGTCTAAAGGGGATAGAGAGAATAAATTTGTTGGTAAACGGGTTTTCTTACCTGCATCGTTTATTGGTGGCCCCTGTTATATGTATAGTCATTATCAGGATGCATTGTCGATATGTAGAGTATATGGAAATCCACAATACTTTATTACATTTACATGTAATGTAAAGTGGCCGGAAATAACACGGTATATGGAAACTTATAGTCAACGTGATGTTCATAGTAGAGCTGATGTGATAGCTAGAGTTTTTTAAATGAAAGTCAAGGCCTTCATTTCATTTCTTAAAGAGGACAAAACTTTTGGCAAAGTTGAAGCACGTAAGTGTGTTCTTTTTTTTTTTACTTCTATTTTGTGTTTATGATTTTTAATTATTTATATTTTTTTATATATTTCAGATTTGTATACTATAGAATTTCAAAAAAAAGGTTTACCGCATTGCCACACGCTTTTATGGGTATCCAAATCAGATAGTATTCGGCAGCCTGCTGACATTGATAACTTTATAAGTGCAGAACTTCCAGATCCTGTCTTGGAAGCGTCCCTCTATCACACGGTAACGACGTGTATGATTCATGGCCCATGTGGTCCACTGAATTATAAGGCTCCTTGTATGAAGGATGGTAAATGTAGTAAGCACTTTCCTAAACCTTTTCATGATGCTACAAGTTTTGATAAAGAAGGGTACGCACACTACAAAAGGAACTCAATTGCACATCACATAATGCAAAGTGGCACTATGATTGATAATGGATATTTAGTACTATACAACAAGAGATTGTGTAGTCGGTTTAATGCACACATAAATGTTGAGTATTGTAGATGGAATATGATGATCAAATATCTGTTTAAATATATTTCAAAAGGAGTTGAACGTGTTAGGTTCGTTGTTCAGAAAAGTGAGGCAGCTGTTACTGGTACTTCTGATTCACAAGTCGCACTTGTAGATGAGGTTCATAATTTCTTGGATGCACGTTACATTTGCCCACATGAAGCTGCATGGAGAATATTAAACTTTTTCATTCATCGACGGCATCCCCCTGTCATGACATTGCCTGTTCACTTACTAAATATGCAGCATGTGGTATTCAAGGAAAGTGGTAGAGTAGAGGATGTTCTTCGTATTCCTGATTTTGCTAAGACACCACTACTTGGATGGTTTGATAATAATATAACAGATCCAAAGGGTCATGATCTTACTTATATTGACTACCCCAACAGATATACATGGGATCCTCAATTTAAAAAATGGGAACAAAGAGTTTTGGAATCTTCAAAAACTATAGGTAGACTTGTATTTGTACATCCATCTTCAGGAGAGTTATTCTATTTTCGTATGTTGCTCTGTCATCAGATGGGATGTCAGTCTTATGAAGATGTTCGTACAGTCTCTGGTCATCTTCATCTAACTTTTCGAAGTGCATGTAATGCATTAGGTTTGATAGGTGAAGACATGGAATGGTTAACGGCTTTTGGAGAGGCTTCATTATGGGCTACTTCTTCACAATTACGTTCTCTTTTCTGCCATTTGCTGCTATTTTGTGACGTAAGTAATCCAGATAAAGTGTATCACATAACTGATGATGTAGTACAACAACAGCTGCTTTTTGAGTTGGAGAACATGCTTAGGTCTTCTACACCTTCAAAATCATTAGGTGATTTCCATTTACCCATGCCAAATCCAGCTGCTGTTGCTATCCTACAGAACCGACTTTTGTTAGAAGAATCAAGTTATGACAAGGAATCTTTGCAGCAACAACATTCACAAATGGTTTTACAACTGAATGAAGATCAAATGTATGTTTATAACACTGTTGTGGTATCTGAACAAAATAAAAAGCAGGTGTTACTTTTTGTGTATGGTCATGGTGGGACAGGGAAAACATTTGTGTGGACTACTTTGCTTGCATATTTCCGGTCTATTGGGAAAATTGTACTTGCGGTTGCTGCTTCTGGGATTGCGTCCCTTCTTTTACCTTCCGGAAGAACTGCGCATTCAAGGTTTAATATCCCCATTGACCTGGCTGAAAAAACCTCCTGTAACATAAAAAAAAGAACAATACTTGCAGATCTACTAAAACAGACATCACTCATTATATGGGATGAAGCACCTATGAATGATCGACGCTGTTTTGAATATCTTGATCGCTCTCTTAGAGATGTTCTGGATTGTGAAAACCGGCCTTTTGGTGGTATTTCTGTCCTCCTTGGCGGAGACTTCCGTCAGACACTTCCAGTTTCCCCAAAAAGTACTCGGACTCACATCATTGCATTAACTCTTCCAAATTCGTATCTGTGGTCGTGTTTTAAGATTTGTAAATTGCATCAGAACATGCGTTTAGCAGCTTGTGAAACTGATGTAACTAACGGCTTATCTATATCCGCTTTTGCAGAATGGTTACTTAATATTGGAAATGGGACTTTAGGAATTCCCGCTACAGATGATCCACATAGTACAAGCTGGGTAGAAATACCAGATTCACTTTTGATACCTCAAGATAGTGACTCTTTAAAAACATTAATACTCTTTGTATATGGAAATGATCTGCTGCACAATCCATCACCATCTGATTTGTCTGTAAGAGCTATTGTCTGTCCCACAAATGAGACTGCCGATGCCTTAAATACAACAGTTCTAGAAATGATGACGACCCAAGAAAGGGTTTATAAAAGCACAGACACTATGCAACCAAATGGCAAGTATACATCAGAGTTGGAAGGTTTATATCCAACTGAATATCTAAACCAGTTAACTTTTGCAGGGATCCCGCCTCACGCCCTCAGGCTGAAAGTAAAAGCTCCTGTAATGTTATTAAGAAACATTAACCAGAGGGAAGGTTTGTGTAATGGTACACGGTTAATTGTTTCACAACTACTTCCAACTGTAGTAGAAGCAATAATAATAACAGGAACATGCATTGGCAAGCGTGTATACATACCCCGCATAAAATTCATTCACAAACCTCCTGACTTACCATTTGCCTTTGAACGCAAACAGTTCCCCATTAAAATTTGTTATGCCATGACGATAAATAAAAGTCAGGGTCAGTCATTAAAGAAAATTGGTATTTATTTGCCACAGCCTGTATTCACACATGGTCAACTGTACGTTGCATTATCAAGAGCAACATCTCCCTGTTCACTAAAAATTCTGATAAACAATGATGAAAATACATGCCAGAATCAGACAAAAAACGTTGTATTTAAAGAATTTTTATCCAGAGTTAACAGTAATGAGGTTCATAACATCATTACTAATTATTATTTGTGTATTATAATTATTTTATATAATAAACAGCTAATGGTTTGTTGTTTTATTTGACAGCATTATGACTAACATATCTGACTTAAAGTATGCATGCGAAGGAGGTCCATTACAGGTGCGGATCTTGCGAAAATGGAAATCAGACTACCGTCGGTATGAAACATGGTATCTTGCTGTAGACAGATATGTGAGTACACACAAATTCACATAAAAACAATACACTAAAATTATTTACTGTTACTAAGATGTACCCACATTTTAATGCGTTAGGGAGATGCAATACAGATTTGGGACAAAGAAGCAACCAAGGATACATTGAATCAGTTCTTCATATTCACAACTGCTATACAATATCAGAATATACATGTCCCTATCTAGCAGAGTATCAGAAAATTCTAGAAAATGAAATCTATATTGATGTTGGCCTTGCGTCTGTAATTGTTCCCTTTCCTGACACTATTACAATCCCTACAACCTGGTTTCGATTTGTTTCTAAAACTGATCTGATTGACCTAGGTGAAAACCCTCCATATTATCCAGGTATTTATAGAAAAGATGTTATATTAATATAGACGTTATTTGTAAGTAAAATTTATTTTAAACAACAGATTTCATTGGTGTGCTAAAAAAATCAGAAATTGCACAAAGGCTGATAGAGAGGAATTCATTCTTGTAATTCTTGCAGATGAAAGGTACATAATATATACTTATACATCATTAATCGTTTCTTAAATTATTTTTACTGGTTCTAATGGTTCCCTTATACATAAAACTCAGTGGTGATGAAACAGCAATCAGTTTATGGAAAGAATGTATTAATGTTCCTGAAAAATTAAAACGTGAACAGTTGGCACCTCCTCCTGCAACAACAATTGTTGCAATTACAAATATAAAGAGTTCAATAATTGCTGGTAACAATAACCAAACAGTATTTGCAGTTTAATAACAATTATATAAATAATTACATTATCCTCTTTAAAACTATTGACATACATTGTTCACACATTTTACAGGAACTCTAAGATTTGGATCATCACCTGCCACACACGTCTATGTTAATCCACCAATACAGGAGACAACACTTTTAATCGACAGGTCCATTATGGTTATTAAAAAATATTTAGTAAATGTTAATAAAAAAATTTACTTCCAAAATCTGACTGCAGGTTTACTGGTCCTACACCACCAACTCCGACACTCTCCGGACCACTGATAACAGTGCATGAATTGATTAATAAAAATCATAACGACCTACTGGTAGGTTATATACTTCAATAACAACTTCCTAACACATGATTAACACAGTTATAACACTATGATGATCTAAAACCGTAGGATAAAACATTCTGTGTAAAAGGCGTGTTGTCAAAAATCACAGTCAAAGATTACTGGTTCCAAGTATTGTGCCCAACATGCAAGGATCCAATTTTCAGGAAAGGCAACTACTGGTTTTGTAGTGCTCATGGAAAAACAGAGTTGCCTACTTTCCTGTAAGTATGATTATAATAAAAGAATTATAATGACTAAACAACCAATCTGCATTCACTCTTACTAATATAGCTTACCTCTATACAGGTACAAAATAGTTATAGATCTAACGGATCCAACAGGCTCCATATATGCCCTAATGACTGATGCCTCAGCCCGAAAACTAATTGGCAGTCCACCGAAAAAAATAATAACCGATGACCATGTAAGTGATAGAAAGTTCTTGCCACCAATGATCATGAATCACAAAGACACATAAAAAATTATGTCAATTCAAATGTTAAGAGGATCTACCACCAAAAACATCCGTTTATAATTGTTGATGTGCATGAAATCACCGCACCAAATAAGACACTTACACCAGTTACACCAACACAAATTTTGGCACCTACAAACATAGCAACACCACTCAGTCCAATACAGCTTCCACAATCTTCAAATGTTCAGATCAATCCTAACCTCGAAACAACTTCCACAACCTCTGAAACACCACATGCAGCAAGGAAACTATCATATGACACTACCGGTACTTACATATACATTCTATTCACATAAGAAAATAAAATAAAAAAAGGCAACTAACTCTCCTTTTATTCATATACAGCTGAATCTGCACCAAAAAAACAACAAAAGCGAGGACGTAGAGTGCAGTAAACAACAACGTAATCCAATGATCATTCCGACTTTTTTTTTGTTATTTGCACTGTAGTACAATAGAATAAGTAATACACATTTTGTATGAAAACAGTAACAGAAAAACACAGGTAAAATCTTTTGTGCTATATTATTAGTATATGATGAGAATAGCAGTTATATAAAATGAATTACTATAAAAAAAATTACTGTCTCTGTAAATTTCAGTATTATAATAAAACGGTCATACATATATTATATTAAAATAGGTTAATCCTTATTAATAAAAGTATTTGTCATTAGTAAAATGCAATAATATGAAACCAACAACAAAAAACCATGACTAAAATGTTTTGTACTATATTAGTATATCGTGATGATAATTAATAAGACTTATATAAGATACAATAATATTATACAATATTAAAATGAGTTAACAGTTGTTGAACCTATAAATTATATACAATGAAAAAAATTACTTTACTTATAACTCATATTTTCTTTAAAAAGTTATTTTTAAGCAGTCGTATTAATAAAAGTATTTGTCATCAGCTCATAATTCTTTTATAAAATAAAAATCATGACAAGGACATTTAGATCATTATATGTTCCAATAAAATAATATATGCATCCTTTACGAAAAATATTACAATACTGTATAATTAAATAACCACTGTTATAATTAAATGTTAATATGTATACTATTCAAATACATAACATTACATATCAATATAAAAAGTTCCCTATATAGTATTTTTTTTTAAAGATATTTAATCATGAATTCCGATAAGATTAAATTTCCTTTTACATACACCAGAAGGTAATTGATCTTTGTAACCTATACATCCTAGATAGCCATAGTATCGCCACCAAACTGTCACTTTAATCACACACGTCATTACCACAGTCTTAATAATGTGCCAACGCTTCAATAACCAAAACTGACACCATTAAATTCAAATTTCAAATACAAAAAGTACTTACAACCAAATTAGATAACAAAAAAAAAAAACAAACAACATGTTTTTATATGTCTTTATCACTTAATATCAAAATCTAATTAAATAATAAACTGTTTCTTCAATCCTTTTAATAGACTTACAATGAAAGTAATGAAAGTTGGATGGTTATTAAAAATAACATAAAAAAAACAAGAAAAAAACCTTTTCTAATATGCGTTCATCGTTTCATATCCTATAACCTACTCACCTAAAATAGATATAGTATTGCCACGAAATTGTTAATTGAAGCATACATGTCATAACACTGATGTGACTATGAGACTACATATCATGCCACGAATTACAAAAGCACAGTAAAACTCCATATGAATCACTTATATAAGAACCAAAGCATGACTTGACATACACACAGTAAAACATATACTACACTACACAAATATGAAAGACGTCCAAGTTCGAGAAATTTTACAACAACTGATTACCCATCTACGAGAGGTCAGTGACATAATGGAGGCGGTTCAAATAACAATTGAAGAAAGAGCCAAAATCCATGACGATTTTAACAGCAATCTCTCTATAGAAAAAAATAGTAGCAATTACAAAATCATAAAAGACCTTCTTGAAGATGCAAATACCGAAAACCTATCCATGCAAGACAATACATCATTTATGCTGGGGTCAATTCACAAACGAATTGGCAAATACAAGCAGTTGATGAAGAAGTTCACAGATGTCTAAGTCTTTCGTTTTTACCTATAAGCGCATGTAATATATAGTAAATAATAAAAAGTTGCTTAAAGAAACGCCACCCTAAAAGCATAGACCTGCCTCATTAACTTTTGTGAACCACCATATCAAACCCGAAGATCATTCAAACGTCAGAAATTGAAATAAACATAAACAAGATTTAAATGTTATCATTACTTCTCTAACCTACCACGTAAAATTAAACGACCATAAATTAGAATAAGCCTTCATTCCAAATCGTCAGACTAACACACAAATAACTACACTCATACACAAAAAAAAAATTCAGATGCTAGAAGCAGCTTTAAATAGCATCAACACCAAAGACAGCTGAATGTTTCTATGTAATTATTCCTGATCATAAATAAGTTGGTAGTATATATGTTTTGTTTCTTCTTTACGTTCTATTATTAACATAACAATACAACAAAATTAGAAAAAAAAATTATGATACCAATTGACCCCCGCAGAGCGGGGGCAACCCTTCCCTAGTTAGTTAATAATTTCTATCACCAATCACGTTTCTAAAATATTTGACTAATAAATATATAGTCAAAATATATCTAAACATAAAAGTATTAATTAACTATAACACTGGGTTAAAAGGAAATTTTATTTGGGTGTCTATTGTTAAAAATAGATCGTATGTTTCAACTACAAGAAGAGTCGAAATAATACAATAAAATGGTTGTCGCTTCTGCTACATAAATTGTTTTCTATAGCAGTTATTGATTAAATCAACCCCTAACACTAATATCACATGTAGGGTAGCAAATCTCATGTGCAACGACAGTGATTGTTTTACTCTCAAATCTCATGTATCAAGTTTTAAATTGGGTGTCCAGGTCACATAGTCTCAATCCCATCATAAGTGGATGAACAAGTTCAAAGTATAAAAGTTGTCCCCATTTATACAAAACACATTTCAAAATCCATTTCAAGAATACACACAATATACATATAGTATTCGCATAACATAGATATAAGATATCACTTCGAGTGGAAATTGAATTCTTCAATTTATAAAATAAAGACATGCATTCATAGGTAACGAACTCACCCCAACTAGTTGCAACACTCTACCTCGTTTCCAAAAAAAATTGAGGCCACCTAAAACTAGTTGTAACACTCTACTTCACTCCCAAGGTATTTTTTTAGGCCTAATTGTCACTTAAGGATAGCCATAAATTAATTCACTAAGAACTAATTATCTTTCACATCATAGGAATACACTGAAAGAAACCATACTTGATTTGGACATTCTATGAAAATGTTACAAGTTTCCTTCATAGATTGTCCACTCCTTGCAAATCCAATCGGCCATTCTATGCAAAAATTATGAGGTTTAAATACTTTTACACTTCTAAATTATGTCCAATTAAAATCATAACTTCATTCATTTCATTCCTAATGGGATTAGATGGTTATCTAACATTTAGTTACATGTTTCAAACAGTAAATAGCATCCTAATTCAACATTAGTCCAATAATTTACACGCTAAGAACAAAGAGTTGGTAATATAGATTCCATATTTCTAAAATTAGTTCATAATCTTAAGCAAAAGTTTAATCATCCCTAGATGCAATTTGATTACAAAATTATAACGCCCTATTCCGAATTGACTCCTAGTCTGAGGCTGTGACCCGAAGGTTGGTCATCATAAGAATTATGGCTTTCGAAAAGGTAATATATAGGCCCATTTGGGTGTGAGTGATGTATTATAAGTGATCTGGATGTTCGGTTCGTGTTTTGGAGCCTAAGGGTGTTTCGGTAAAGTGTCAGTTTGGGCCTTTGTGGAAATGGACTTTTGTTCGGAAGTTCTTAAGCAAGATATGAGTTGATAGAAGTGTAGGGATTCTCGTCACCTTTCCGTGGATATAAGGATCGTTGGAATCAGGTTTATAATGAAGAAGGTATGGCCTTCAGAAGTTTCGTGGTTTTCAGGCTTAGCCGAGTACGCGGGGCGTACTAGAGAAGAAGGCAGTACGTTGGGCGTACCAAGGAGTACGTTGGGCGTACTAACTAGGATGGTCGCGAACGTTCTTCGGAGTACGCTGGATGTACGCTAGTCAGATCAGAACCCTATTTTAGGGTCTTGGGCCCTATTTAATCTCCTTATCTCATAACCTAACCCTAATATCTTCAGCCTCCACCCTCTAAACCCTAGAAATCGACCCTTAGCCCTCATTTGAGTGACTTTGGAGCTTGGATGGCCATTAGAGCAGTATTTTGGTGTTTTTGAAGAAGAAGGTGTTTAGAGAAGAAGCAAGAGATTGAATAGAGCTTGTAGATCCAGAGGTTTTACATAATTTCCAGCCTATTGAAGGTATAAAGCTCTCATCTTGGTGCTTCTACATCATAGATCAAGGTTCTCATGGATTTTGACCCTTTTTGGTTTCAAGAATGGATTTTTATGGTGCAAATCCATTTCTGGACTTAGGGTTGCCACCTATAAAGCTATTTGAGTCCCTTGAGCAGTAAAGTTGAAATCTTTAAGGCCCATTTGCATCCATGAAAGAGATGTAGCCATTTCCATGAAGATAGTTGCTATTTTTCCAAGTTTGATCTCATTTGGTGGAGTGCAAGCCACCAAGTGATCAACTTTATGGGTTAAGAAGGATTATTGGACCCAAATCTGAAGTTTAGATGTAGTGTCTTAAGGGGTTAAGAGGTTTTGAAGAAAATGGCTTAACAAGAGAGTATGATGGGCGTACACGCCAGTACATGCATCGTACAAGCCATGCAAGCTGTACGCGCAACGTATAGAAGAGTACGCTCAGTGTACACTCAGATTTTGGACTTTACGTTATTGGGCCTCGGTTTGGGCCGATCTTTGGGCTTAGTAGATGTTGGGCCGTGATGGGGCACCAGGAGGCAAGTACTAGTGTGGGCTTGGGAAGAAAGCCCATTTGAGGAGTTAGGCCCAATTTAGAAAATTGGGTCATTTGAGGACTTTAATCGGCATTAGTTTGTTTGGAAAGACTATAAAGGATTGGGCCTAGGTCATGGCCCAGAATAGACCACAGGGGTAAAATAGTCATTTTACCCATGGGAGAGTCATCAGTTTTTGACTAAATCTTTATTTGGTCATTATAGTCGGGGACTAGTTGGAGCAGCAGACAATGTCACCTTTGCGCGAGTTTTTCAGCAGTCAGTTTGAGAGGTGAGTTTCCTTCCAGTAGGAACAGGTCTACGACCACAATGCCGGTCCATTTAGATGATAGTAGTTCCGGACTTCGGTCCGATGTCGGGGTGGTCCCGAGAAGTAGTTATGTATGCCTGATGTCTTCGTGATTAATGCATGTTTATGA